CCCGCTGTCAGATCCATGCCATGACTGGGGATGGCAGGAAGGACGATGGACCCATTTGGCTTCAGATGCAAAGTGTCTGTTCAAAGGGTCTCACATGTGGAGTTTTTTTCAAGCCAGCCAGGGTCTGGAGGGACGGGCCTTGCCCTGCTGCTGACCAATGGCTGTGACTGCCACATCCAAGCCAGGTCGCCTTCGGAAGAAATGCCAAAAACAAAATCAGGCTGAGTGGCGGCCGCTGCTGTGCTCGTGTGGCTCCGCGTCCTTTTTTTTGCGAGTTCCGGGCTTTTGGCTAAAGGCCAACTTCAACACTCCACGGCTTCGTCATTCTGTCCAAAGGCGCTCTCGGCTGGCTTTGCACACCTTCTCCCTTCACTCCTCTTCTAATCCTCACACCGACTCGGCTTCACACCGCTCGGGGCTCGCAGAACTGACAGCCGTCAAGAGCTCAGACCCCATCGCTGCTCTCGGCTTCATCCACACGGCTCGCAAGCAATCCACACCCCTCGACTTTCTCGTTCCTCCACACACGGCATCGATGACCGACGGACGGACACAAGTGATGGTATGATTGGATCTCGATGCCTGGGTCCAGGCGGCCCGACAACCGCATCACGAGCGCTTCGCGCCTCCGGTGCCGTGCGCGCACCATGCGTGCTCTCACCGCCCGTGGCCGAATGCTCATATCGAGTGTGGCAGCCTCCACCGCCGTCTCCCCATCTAAATACCCGCCGCGGCTCTCGCAGCTTTACATCCGACTCACACGTAAACGCACACTCCGCCAATGCCTCTCGCCAGGCTACATCCGCCGAGCCTGGCAGTATCGAGACTTTCGTTCATGATCCGCCGTTCGCAAAGGCCAAGGTCAAACGACTTCGACGCGTGCACAATGCGCACCCACGGGATCCTTTTGGAGCATCTCCCGATATGAAAGCGCCTACCTCGGCGTCATCGCAGGACCCAATACCTACCGGTCACGACCGAACATCTGACGCCATCACAGGCTCGCACCTGCATCCGCCATGCGTCACCAATTTGGGAGAGCAACCGCCGCCGCTTCGGTCCACCCACCGTCTGGATCCATCTTTGCTGCTCGAGTATCTCACCACGAGCGGGACCGAAGCAAAACACCGCATCAAAAGCCAGCTGCCTTCAGGTCTCCTTCTCATCGATGCATATCTGCTTCTGCGAGATAGCCATCCCGAGAGCCTCTCCGCCCTCTCCACCCCAAACATCTACTCCCTCATCAGACATGCTGGCAGGGAGAGCCTCGGTGGCGTCCTTTCCCTTCTTCTTCAGGACGTCGTGGGTCCCGAGCTCAACAACCCAAACGGCCCTCCCGGCCTCTTCCAAGTCAAGGCTGGAACCCAAGACCGCTACAGGCTCCTTCGTGAGATCCTTGCGCGATGCACCCAAAGCAACTTCCTGATACACGACGGCAACATTCTTAACATCTTTACGCTCATCCTCCACGATCTCTGCCAGATCCGCCAAACCGATACAGACACAAGCAGCGCTTCTACCATCGACAGAGCGTATGCCGATGGAGACTCTGGCAGCGTCCAGATCCCCGACACCTTCCCAACCGGAGAGGCCAGGCGTCTCGTCAAGTTGGCTTTGCAGTTTGACCGGCCGGAACTAGGCCCAATCGTCAAGGCTCTTCGAGTGCATCTCGAGACTCGGAACCCAACCTTTCCAACAGCCCGTGAGGGTGCTCAACTCATCGCTTACTACCTCCAGCCCAACTTACGCGACTTCGAGTCTGGTCTAGACGTCGTTCGCGCACTTCGCGACACCAATGCTCTGGCGCAAGATGTGATCGACGATGCTGTCCACGACGGCAGACAGTACTTTGACGCGCTACAGTCCGCTTTCTCCTCGGTTCCAGACGACGCACATGCGTCACCGTCGCAAGAGGAGCTGGAAAAGGTCTGCCTGGATGTCTCGCTCCGTATCGTCGGCATGAAGTGCCTCATGGCCCAGCGCCCCGACGGAGGAGTGCAGTACCGCATGACGCTCGAAAGCCTGCTATCGAGCTTCCGATTCGATCTGGTCGACTCCTGCCAGGAGATCCCGGGCTGTGACCTTCGATCTCTGCTCGATGTCCCTGTGAACAACATCCGGACAATCATCAAAAACTTGCTGCAGAGTCAAAACGACCCTCTCAGCGAAGTGCTGTCCGTTCTGCAGCGATGCGACCCACGCATCGTAGCCATGCTTCCGAACACCGATTTGCAGGAAATCTGCGATGTAGGCCGTGACCTGGAAACGCTTCGTCAGGCTACCGAGATCTATGCTCTCTTCGTCAAAGCCAAGACGACAGCACGCCTGCCCCTCCAGGCGCGGCACATTCTCGCGCGTGACGGTTGTCTGACGAATGCGGAGATGTTTCTGATACTCATGCGAGTATTGCTGGACAGGGGTCAGAAAGTCGGCATTGTGGCCAATTTGCGTGCGCTCGGCGTGCTTCCCTTGACCGAGGCGGCCGTGCGTCAGCTCAACCTGCGCTTCACACCTGCACAGAGAGCCAGTCTCATCACGCTATTGGCCAAGGCTGGTGCCACCGACGACGCATTCCTCCTATTCCAGCACTGGTCGCAATGCCGGTACGAGGAGGGCCTCGACTTTGACTCCGCTCGCAGTGTCGCTGCCAAGTTTCGCGGTCCTGACTCGATCCAGGTCGGAGATGCGCTAATGGAAAGACAGATCCGACTGATGCACGAATCGGATCGTCAAGTCGCCATCTCGGCCTCATGCGTTGTCGCCTTGGTCCGCTCCCTGTGCTCGAACCGGCGCTCAGGTGACGCAGATGCCTCGCCAGCGTCCGAGACGCAAGCCGCGTCCGAGGTGCCAAAGGGCTCTACCGAAGAACAGCTGCGAAGGGCGCGGTTCGTCATCGATGCATTTGTGCAATCATGCACATCGGTGGATTGGACGCACTATCGGCTCACGGCGCTGGCTCAAGCATGCTTCCTCGTCAGGGACGTGCCTGGCGCCTTCTATGCGCTCGCCCAGATCAGTTTTCTTCGACAGCTGCCAGACAAGCTCGACATTACGGTCCTGCTTGGTGGATTGATGCATGTTGACCCGGACCGGGCGGTGAGGCTCTTCATCCAACACGCCTCGGTCCCCAAGACGCTCACAGCGCGTGCCAAGCAAAACACCGACGCATTCGACGCCGAGCCGGCTTCGCAGACGGAGAGCCGAACGCACCGATCGGCGACACTCCCTCCCATGAAGGCATCGCCAACGTTGGTGTCAATGCTCATCAATCGTGCGATTGTCCAAGGTCGAATGGACCTAGCGGATCGGTTGTACAAGTTCGGCGAGATGACCGGCATCAAGAACCTGCCTGGACATGTGGCATCTATCCGAGCGCTCTTTCTTCCGGATGTGGCACCGAACGCCGTCGTCAAGGCGATCGATCGCGCGCACGAGACTGGATGGAAGTCCGATCCTGGCTTGCTCGAAAGCCTCTCGCAACGACTTCTTCGGCGTGCTGTAGAGCGCATCGGTGCTCCTGGCGAGGTGTCTAAGCAACTGGGAGTTGGCGGAAAAGGAGGCCGGGAGCGTTTCGCGCTGCCACCTCTGAAACGGCTAGACTTGGCCAAAGCTGCTGCAACGCTGATGCGGATGAGTGCGCAAAGCATGGACGTCGTCAATCTAAAGTCGGTTCATCTTGCGCTCGAGGCCATCAACAGCGTCAAGACGTCCTTCGCCCGGCCAAATGCGAAGACAACCGTCTCTTCTTCGACTGCAAGGCAGCGCGATCCGGAGAAAGATCGCCTGCAGTGGATCGGAATCCTGGACGAGCTCGTGCACCGGCTTCGCTGGGCCACGTTCTTCGACACGGGCAACGACTATCGGCACAGTCTTCCGCTGTGGAAGTCGAGCAAGGCCAGGGACGGGCAGCTCATACCAGCCGAGCTGGACGACATGATGACGCTCGGGTTCGAGGGCCGGGGCCGGAAACGACAGGCGGCGGGAGGAAGAGGAGCATCAGCGCCACGCCTGGCTGAAGCAACGGACGAGTCTCAGCACGGAAACGATGCTTCGTCGTCGGAGGGTGGAGATGTCTCTAAGGACGCTGCGCTGCAGCAGCCTCGTGCATCCTCGCCCAATGTGCTCCCTGCCATCCTGTACCGGCGACTGATGGAGGCGTATCTGGCACTGGCGGATGCCGCGGGTGCAGCAGAAGTCGCGGCGTGGATGCGCGACGAAGCAGGAATGGATATCGCCGAGTCTCAGCGTGCCGCCACCACCTTCGTGAGCCGAATCAAGGCCGCGGTACGAGACAGAGAAAGCGACACGGCGCACGAGTCCGATACGAGTAACATTCTGCGCATGCTGGCCGGCCAGCAGGGCACGGCAACCACAAAGCGGTGGTGGACCCCCTAGAGCTCGAAGGTGGATTTCACTGTATACTACTCTACATTGTTTAGGGAAGCCAGGGCTTTGCAACATGCTCATGACAAAGTCTGCCGTGTAGAGGGCAAGCTTCAACAGCGAGAAGCAGCCTGCGGCGATAGTGTTTGAGAATTGAGGCTGATTCGCACGATAAAATTGTACCTGCGAGCAACCGTTCCCGCCCGGGCTCGTTGTCTTCGCGGGCGGGCAGGGCTGATCGGATCGCGCCCCGGAGGCAGCCTGCGAGCTTGCAATCGGATTTGAATTGGTGGCAATTCGCACCTTCCTGGCTGGAATATGGTTTTTCGCGCAGGCGCAATACAAATCGCCTGCGAAGGGGCACTTGAAGGGCACTTGAAATTCCACGGCAAGAAGGACTGGGAGCGGAGAGGCAGCTGCTGAGGATCTGGCGTGCGAGAAAGCCAGGGCTGCGCACCAACGCAGCTGCTCGGCCAGCTTCTTCGCTTCGCTCAGGCTCGCGGAGGGTTGGGTGCGAATCCGAATCGCATCGTCGCTTTTGGTCTGGCTTGGTGATCTTCTCCACCTCACCTTCTTCGTCCACACCTCCCCGACATCGTTCTCCATACATCGACACAATGATCGCCCGTGCCGCCCTCCGATCCAGCCTCCGCGCCGCCAAGGCTCCCAGCCCGCTCGCCCAGCTCGGCGCCCGCCGTGGCTACGCCGAGGCCGTGAGCGACAAGCTCAAGCTCTCCTTCATCCTTCCCCACGAGGTAAGATCCATACGACCAAGGAAGATCCCTGCTCGCCCTGCACCATCATGATATCAGCACATGCAACAGTGAAGGAGGAGCAACAGACGCACGACAGAATGAGATGTTCGGAAAGCAGGAAACACGCAGCATGGAAGGATTGGCAGAGTTGGCGGTGGAATGCCTGGGGGGCGGTGGATGCAGTGGTACAAGTCACGCTCAACAGCTCGTCCCAACTCGATGGCAGCGAAGAAGAAGAAGAACAGCATGGCATGCCGCTGGCGTCAGAATCGACAGCCAATGTCTCAGGGCTTGGAGTTTGGAGGCTCATCGCGGACTATTACTGGACGGACACGCAAGGAGAGCAACAGCACCATCGTCGCCTGCCATCAGCACCGTTCAGCCGTGCGCTGCATCGATTACCTACGCATGGCTAAATCTCTTGGAATGCTGGATACGAGAATGACAGCTGCACGAGCAGGGTTCTTGCTATGATTTGCAGGATTTCACCATCACTGACACTTGTTTGCTCATCCCTCTCGCACGATTGCACACGCTCAGGCCATCTACAACTCGACCGAGGTGACGCAGGTCAACATTGCGGCGTCGACAGGAGACATGGGTATCCTTGCCTCGCACGTTCCTTCCGTCGAGGAGCTGCGACCCGGTGTGCTCGAGGTGGTCGAGTCGAGCGGCACCAAGAAGTGGTTCGTGTCTGGCGGCTTTGCCACGGTTCACCCGAACAACAAGCTGGTCGTCAACGCCATCGAGGCGTACCCGCTCGACAACTTCTCGACCGAGGCGGTGCGCTCTGCGCTCAGCGAGGCCCAGCGTGTGGCTTCGTCGTCGTCGTCCGCGGAAGCCAAGGCCGAGGCCGAGATCGAGATTGAGGTCTACACCGCCCTCCAGGCTGCTCTTGGCCGCTCCTAAGTGCGACGCAGCCAACACCGCGCGCAGAAGCCGTCGAGCCACAGCTTGAATCCATGCCCGGATAGGGACGCTGTGGCGCAAAACGCTGACGATCTGCGCGGTCTTGTCTGGTGCCCGCATGCCACAGACGAATACGAATCTTTTAGAATCAATTGCTGGATGTGCTTGTGCTGCCATGCAGTGGCAATGTTTGCGGGCTGTGAGCATCGGAATGCGGATCGACGCAGCTGATGTCTCGCGAGAGATCGGAAGGCAGGGCGTTGGGATTGAGATTGAAAGGCGTACGATACAAATACAGATGATGCAAGGATGGAGGGCGACGAGAGATCTAGGCCAGCAATGGCGGGTATGCGGGGGGTGGGGAAGAGTGAATGTCACTAGGAGGGCCTGACAAAGTCCTGCGAGAGGTCGACGCCTTCGAGATGAGTGTTTTGGAGCTTGAAGCGGCGCGGACCGGATCCCTTTTTCTTCTTCTTGTTCTTTGCGTTGGCTGCGAGCTGTGCTGCCGAGACGGGTGCATCGAGCATGTCGGTCGTCGTCAGACCCTCGCGCTCAAGCTCCTTGGGCAAGTCGACAAGATCCGGCACCTTGAGCTCGTGCCACAGCTCTTTGAACTCTGTGGTAGCGGACGCAACGTCGTGATCAGTAGTCCGCATTCGATGAAAACACGCTTGAAAGGAGAGTACACACCGTCATCTACGCCCTTTGCTTCTTTGCCACGGAGTGGATTCCAGAAGACCTGTTTGATGGCGCCGTCACGTTGGCCGCGGAGCACGAGAACCTCCCTGTCCTCGCGCGGTTCGGCCTTGCTGAGTTCCTCAATCGCATCTCTTGCTGCAGGGTAGCTCTCGCGCAGCTCCGCCAGCCGCATGCCTGCCGCCGAAGAATTGCCAGCGCCATTGCCTGGATTGAGGTAGCGGTCCTTGAGCAGAGCAACCAGGTCGGCGGGGGTGCGCAGATCGTAGTCGGGCTTGTACATCCACAGATCCGTCTTGGCATCGTACAACACACGGTCGTGCACCTTGAAGCGCGCAAACAATCCGCTGTTCGGATTCAGCAACGCCGGCAGACCCTGCGAGAGCGCAAAGTCTTCGAGGCGCACGGGGTTGGCATGGTGCTTGAGCGCATCGATGGCCGAGGCGAGCTGCGTGTTCTCGTGGATGCCCGAGCCCGTGTTGGCCGGCTGGCTGTACACCGTCGTGGGCTCTCGGCTCATTTTTGATCTGGGGCTGACGAGCGGTCGAGGGAGCGTAAGTGAGAGCGAGGAAGGATATGCGGTGGAAAGAGCGGGAACACTTCTCGAGGTCCCTGCGTCCGAGGCTGGCGAGCGAATCGGGCACGATCGATCCCAGATCGAGATAAGCCCACATGCTCTGGCTGCTGCAGGATTCGGCGCCTCGAGCTGCATCCGGTTTGTGGGCCTCGCCAAAGCGTGCTCTGGCTGAGTGAGAGTGAGGGTGCTGGCTTGGCTCGCTGAGTGACGCGCTGCCAAAATGTCCGAAATCCAAAGTCAAGCCACCGCTGCTTTAGCGTCCGACCGGCAGCAAAATCTGAAACACCCTTTCACGCCTCAGTTGGAGCTGCAGCTGCAGCTCACCGATCCGGTTCCAGCTCGACCTCGCGCGGTACCAGCAGAGCAGCAAGGCAGCAGAGCAGCAGAGCAGCAGAGCAGCCAGCAGCCCCGCACGCTTACAAGCTTCCGGCAACCGCTCTTTCTCTGCACCACAGCACCTCGATCGGCACCCTGGCTTTGCATCGTCTGCCCCCCGACGCTCCGGTCAACATCGTCCTCGTCCTCGTCCTTGTTCTTATCACCTTACCCACCTATTCTACTCCGCGACCCCTCTTGGCACCCTTCTGCCAGCTTCTGGTGCATTTCACGACTCCGACTGGCAAGCACGCAGTACACGGTCCCGCTCATTTGATCGCCAATCTTTCCCGGCACGGTTCTGCATCCCACCCTAGCGCTATCCCACTTCCTTTGTTCTTTTTCTTGCCTGGCAGCGGCGCCCCATCTCTGCCACCATGCACGTCCAGTCTCGGCTCCGGCCGATGATGGACGAACTCAAGATGAAGGGCATGACATACGGCATCAACTTCTTCATGGCCTACCGTCGCAATCATGCCACCATCCAGCGCGTCCTTCGAGTCTCCTACATCCTCTTTATCCTCCACAACCTCACCCGCACCCTTCGTGCAGGCTCGAAAAAGAAGCCCAAAAAGGTCGCACCACCAGCCGGTGAGAACGAAAAGGCTGGCGCAGTGGCGAGTGCACAGCCGGCTGCCGACGTGGACGACTCTTCAGCAAGGGGTCGAGGCGGACGCCGCGGCAAGAAGAGCCGCGGTCCTCGTGTCGAGGTCGATGCCGTCTTCTTCGAGCGCCTAAAGCGCATCCTCCGCATCGTCGTCCCCGGCTGGCGCTCCAAGGAGGCTGGCCTCCTCATGCTCCACACCCTCTTCCTCGTTCTGCGAACCATGCTCTCGCTCTACGTCGCAGATCTCGACGGCCGCATCGTCTCCGCCCTCGTCCGATCCCAGACCCGCCAGTTCATCACCGGCATCCTCTGGTGGATGGCCGTCGCCGTACCTGCCACCTACACCAACTCCATGATCGAGTTCCTCCAGTCCAAGCTCGCCCTTTCGTATCGCAGCCGCCTCACAAAGCGCGTCCACGACGCCTACCTCACCGACATGACCTTCTACAAGCTCGGCAACCTCGACGATCGCATCAAGAATGCAGACCAGCTCATCACCGTCGATGTGGCAAAGTTCAGCAAATCGCTCGCCGAGATCTACAGCAACTTTGCCAAACCCATCCTGGACGTCTGCCTGTACAACTACCAGCTCATGGGCCGCGTCGGAGCCGAGGCGCTCATCGGCATCAACATCCTCGTCTCGGGCTCGGCCACGCTGCTGCGCAAGCTCACGCCGCCCTTCGGCCAGTACGCCGCCACCGAGCAGCAGCTCGAGGGCGAGTTCCGCTTCAACCACTCGCGCCTCATCGAGAACGCAGAAGAGATCGCCCTCTTCCGCGGCCAGGCGGCCGAGCAGAACGTCATCGAGCGCGCCTACTTTTCGCTCATCAAGCACGTCAATCGCGTCTACCGCATCCGCATCATCCACGGCATGACCGAGGAAGGCATCATCAAGTGGCTCTGGGGCGCTCTCGGCCTGTGCATCTGCGCCGTGCCCGTGTTTGTGCGTCTGCCGGGCGGCGGCAAGGGCTTGGATCTCGGCTCTCGCACCGAGTCCTTTGTCACCAACCGTCGTCTCTTGCTCTCCTCCTCCGACGCCTTTGGCCGAGTCATGTACTCGTACAAGGAGATCTCGGAGCTCGCAGGCTACACTGCGCGTGTCTCGGAGCTTCTCGACACCATGGACGCCATCAAGGCTGGCAAGTTCGAGAAGAAGCTCGTCTCGTCGGCTTCGATCGAGGAGAACGCGCTGGTGCTGCAGGGACGCGGCTCGATCCAGGAGGACACCTCGCGCACGGCCGGCGTCGAGTTCCGCGACGTGCCCATCGTCAGCCCCAACGGCGACATTCTCGTGCCCAAGCTGAGCTTCCACGTGCAGCCGGGCCAGCACCTGCTCATCATCGGCCCCAACGGATGCGGCAAGAGCTCTCTCTTCCGCATCCTCGGTGGTCTCTGGCCCGTGTACGGCGGCACGGTCAAGAAGCCACCCACGTCCGAGTTCACCTACATCCCGCAGCGTCCCTACCTCTCGCTCGGCACGCTCCGAGACCAGATCATTTACCCACACACGGCGCAAGAGATGCGTGCGCGCGGCAAGACCGACGAGGACCTGCTGGACATTCTGCGCGTGCTGCAGATCGAGCACATTGTCGCACGCGAGGGCGGCTGGGACGTGCAGCGCGAGTGGCGCGACGCTCTTTCGGGCGGCGACAAGCAGCGCATCGCCATGGCGCGCCTCTTCTACCACAAGCCCAAGTACGCCATCCTGGACGAGTGCACCTCGGCCGTCACGCTCGAGATCGAGAAGATCATGTACGACCACGCCACCGAGCTCGGCATCACCATGCTCACCGTCTCGCACCGGCCGTCGCTGTGGAAGTACCACAGCTACGTGCTCCAGTACGACGGCCAGGGCGGCTACGTTTTCACCAAGCTCGACGCAGAGAAGAGGCTCGCGCTGCAGGAGGAGAAGCAGGCGCTCGAACAGAAGCTGCTCCAGGTGGCCAGATGGCAGGAGAGGCTCGATGCGCTCAAGGAGGCGAGGCGAGAGCGCACCCACTCGCGCGTCGGCTCGCCGGTGCAGGAGAAGTTCGCTCCCCTCGCGGCCGCCTGAAAATGTATCAATCCGCTGTCGCAGCTAATTACGAAGCGTATCTGAAAGAGAAATGACCTTCGCCTGACGAGCGTGAGCCAGGCAGGCCGACTAAAGGGATCTGTTCCTGCGGTGCTTGTGGTGTAGGACTGGTCGTGCGATCCGGTCGGACCGAGGCTGGTGTGGAGGTGATGCTGAGTTCCGACTCCCGAGGCCGAATGCTTGCGGACTGGAAAATTTGCTGGAAGAAAAGGGTTCACTGCTGGTTGGCCGCTGCAACCGCGTTCAGAACGGCCCACCTGGACCAGTTGCTCTCACCATCATCCATCGATTCCTCTTAGAACCTCACGAAGGACAGCAAATGAGCAGAGGATGGTAGATCGTATACCCCCTCGTGCTTCAAGCGCGGCCGCAGGACTCGTGACTCTGCTCAGGCTGCACAGCACATCCGCAGCACGACCAAGCTCCAGTCGGCACTTTGCATCGGTCACCTCCCAAGCCAGCTTCCAAGGTACCAGCACCGCACCGAGCGCTCGTGCATCCTCGGCCAGCATCTATGGCCGTTCAGAGATTGCGTTTGGCAATGCCCGCTCATTCGCCTCGTCGTCGAGTGCAGGCGTGAGTGCGCACCGCAAGCAAGCCGGCCGCGAGAAGGCGAGGCAGCGAGCGATGCGCCAGGAAGAAAGGGTGCTGCGTCAACGCGAGAAGGAGGGCTACAACGCTGCCCGCTCCGTTCCACGCCGGCCACGTGATCCCATCGACGAAGATGTCGAGGCGAGCATCCGCGAGTACATGGCCCGCACCGGCCCGCGCGGCGAGCGCCTCACGCTCGCGCAGCAAGAACGCCTGCTCAAGCAGGAACTCAAAGGACTCGGACACGACCTCGAACGAATCGAGAAGAAGGAGGCTGCAGACAAGGCCACGCAGGACCTGCCGGAGCTGGACGATCAAACTCTCGACGAGCTCTACCAGGCACTCATGCTCCCACCCCCACCAACGCCCGAGGAGGCCCGACTCGCACGACTCGAGGGCGGCCGCAGAGAGAGAGGTCTCTTGGACCGTATAGAAGACGGCAGGGGTCGAAAGAGACTGGATAGGCTCGCAGGTCTGGCGCTTCCGCCCTCGACTGTGGAAGTCAAGAGGGAGAGGACGGCGAGGGATCTCAAGCAGAAGCTCATCCACGCTCGCGAACGAGCAAAGATCCTCCTGCCTCCGTCCAAGTCGACGTCGCAGGAAGCCTCGGCCGTGCCCCTGCAAGCGGAGGCAGCTCGAGAGGAAGTGGGGGAAGAGATTTCTGATGTGGACTTCGCAGCATTGCCGTTCGAAGAGCGCCAGGAAGTCCGATTGCAGCAGCTCTTTGCGCGACTGGCGCTTGTACAGGATGGCGCCGATGCCGCAGGCGACGCCTCGGGGTCCGAGTCGCTTTCGGCGATCAAGTCGGGCCTCGCCGGTCGCATCGCAAGGATCCTCAAGCAGCACGAGTACGAGCTTCATCCATCGACACAAAGTGCCCGGCGGCATGACGACGATCTCAAGCAAGACAGTGAGGTGGCGGAACAGGCCGATACGCACTCGCCCGAGTTCGAGAGCGTGCGTCTCGACCGACGCGCAACAAGCCTTGCGACAGGCGAGGCAGAAGCTGAACCGAGCGAGGCGATAGCGACGCTCGGAGAGAAGAGCGATGTGGTCGCCAGAGCGGATGCCATGATCAAGGATCTTGGGTCTGCCGAGTCGCGTGCCTTCATGCTGGATGGGATCGAGCGTCTCGTGCGTTCGGCCAAGTCTGCTACTTCGTCTGAGCTTGCATCTTCGGGCTCGCAGGCCTCACATCTGCCACTGGGCGTGGCGACGACGGAAGAGTGGATGGCGATTGCAGTCTCCTCCGCGCGCGCAGAGGACGACGCCTCACTGAAGCGCACGCTGTCGCTGATGGAAGCGGCGAGACATCCGGCGTCGCTCGAGCTGTACAACAACGTGCTCGACGTCTACGCATCCAAGGGTCGCGTGGCAGAGTGCCAAGAATGGTTGCAGCGCATGACGGAAGCCGGACTCACTCCCGATGACCACACGTACCACAGCCTCACCAAGGCCTACGTGACGAGTGCGCAGTTCCTGCCTGCACTTGAGCTGCTCAACTCGCTCGAGCAGTCGGGGCATCCGGCGGCCATGGCGACGTACACGCTCGTCATCGACCGTCTGCTGGATCCGGTCGCCATTCCTCGCTCCGGATCGGCAGGAGTGTCCAGTGAAGAGCGACCGGAGCTGCAAGCGCTTGCATGGAACGTGTTCTACCACATGCGGCTGCATGCGCATCCTGTGCCCGATGCGCCTTTGTATGCGCTCATGATCCGCGCGTGTGCGCGCGGTATTGCGCAGCCACACGAGATCGACGACCCGACCAAAGCCTACACGGCTCTCTCTTCCGATGCCAGTGGGCGCAGGCACGCACCACGCATCAGTGACGCCGAGCGCGCGCTCGACCTGTTCCGCGAGATGACGACGCGCTACAACGTGCGTCCGAACGCCGAGGTGTACAACAGCCTCATCCTCGCGTGTGCGCGCCGCAAGGACTTTTACCTCGACACCTTCCGACTGCTGCGCGAGATGGTCGAGCTTGAAACGGAGCGCGCGCACGCCGCGGACGCCGAGCCGAGCGGCATGCTCAGATTCGCCCCAGACACGTACACGTTCAATGCGCTGCTGCAGGGATGTGCGAGGAACCGCGATCTGGCGAGAGCCAGGTGGGTGCTGGCAGAAATGATTCGCACCACCATGCCGCTGTTCGATCCAGAGGTGAGGGGCACGTTGAGCAGTCAGGATGTGGTCGAGTTGCTCGCCAAGCGACCGAACCACGAGACCATGTGTCACATCTTCCACACGTACGCATCGTACGAGCCTCCACTCAAGCGCGACCACATGCAGATCACCCGGAAGACCGACTCCTTGACTCCGGAGGCTCAAAGCGCAGAAACACAGGCAACACCATCGCCCGTGGAATCGAACAAGGAGCCGGCGGCTCAGACCGCGTCGACGGAAGTGGAGCCGAGCAGCGACGAGACAACGCCGGAAGAAGCAGCCTCGATCTTCAGTGCGCTTGTGCCGCAGACTGCGTCGGACCTGGTTTCGGAAGCGCGCTCGCTGTTTGCGCGCATCTTGGCGGATCAGGCGCAGCCGAGTGGCGATGGGAAGGGGCGTATGGAGGGTCCGTTGGGTGGGGTGGAGCCGGGTGTGCGCGTGGTCAATGCGTACCTGACCGTTTTGGCGGCGCACTTGCCCGTGGGCGTGCGCGCGCGCGTTCTGCACTCGGTGTTCGCCGCCGTTCCTGAGCACGACGAACCGACGCTGGAACACGGCCTGTTTGCACGATTGGGTGTCGAGCCCAACGAGCATTCCTTCCGCATCGTCCTCGAAGCGCTCAGCGAGCTACCTCCCGACCCAGCCACGGGTGCAGACATCGTCCAGGACATCTGGTCGCGCTTCGAACGTCTCTTCCCTCAGTCCGATCGAGTCTCGAGCGACCTCGTCAAGCTTCCTGTGGCCAAGGGCGAGGGTGTAGATTGGACCCAGGTGAGAAAAGCCTGGAGTGCGTATATCCACTTTTGGGCCAAAAACGTCAGCCTCGCAAGTGGAGACAGCAAAGAGGCCCAACCAGGACTCGACTATGCGATGGTGCTGCTTCGTAGGTATGCTTCGCTGTATCCGCCGCGCGTACAGGGAAAGAAGAAACGCAGACGCCCTCTACAACCCCCACCCGGTACCAAGGTCGACTTGTCCCCCCTCCCAGTGCCTTTAAAGTCGCTACACTCTCTTCACTTCCTCGCCAACCCTACCCCACTCGAGGAGCAACCAGCGACACCCAACCCCGGCCTCGGGTTCTTGGATGTGCAGCTTCTGCATCACCGCCTCGTGCGATACTCGCGCACCCGCGACCTCGCCTACCTCGCCTGGATCCTCCACCGATACGCCGCCTCGCATTAGAACCACAC